CAGCACCTCCAGGCGTAGAACCCCCAGGCTCAGCACCCCCAGGCGTAGCACCCCCAGACTCAGCACCCCCAGTCGTAGCACCCCCAGGCGTAGCACCCCCAGACTTAGCACCCCCAGAGTCATCACCCCCAGGCTCAGCACCCCTAGGCGTAGCACCAGAGTCACCAGCAACCTCCACAGGCTCAACTGCGTCTACCTTGGACACACCTGAAGGGGCAGGACCCTGAGGGGGAAGGCGGTCTACTGGGGGGGGACCTTGTACAAGGAAGAGCGGTGGCGGGGGGAGGGACGGAGTGCGGTAGGGGAAGAGACGGTAGTAGGGGACTTACTCGTCAAACGTGACGTCCGAGAAGGACAGAACACGGCGAGAGGTGGGGTGGTAGAACTACCACCCTGGCGCATCAGAGAGGAAGCCAAGGAAGACGCAGGGAGCAGCACGAGGGGACAGGTTGTCCGCAGACAAGTCACGGACAAACAACCGAGATCCCCAGACACGGAACGCAGACGCATCGCCAACCTTCCCCGTCCACAGCAAAGCTGGGGAGGTCTCCGGCATGGAGACCCTGGGCTGAAGGTTGATCTGATGCGCCGCGTACCGAACCGCAAACGGCCACAGAAAATGGGGGGCAGCCGCATGCATCATGGACGTACGGGCGACGTCCATGACCATGCCAATGCGGCGCTCAGCAATCCCATTTTGCTATGGAGAGTACGAAAGCGTGAAGGTCTGGCGGATGCCTCGTGCACGACAGTAGGCTCGCAAAAGGCCAGAGGAGAACTCTCCGCCTCTATCAGAGTGCAGACGTAGAACAGGAAAGTCTGAGCCGAAGCTCTGCCTGAGCTGGAGACGAGCTGCGCGGATCCAGTTGATCAACACCTCAGTGACATCACCCTTGCTGCGCAAGGGGAAGGCTGTGGTGTAACGCGAGTAGTCGTCAACCACCAGCAGGAAGTAGCGCTCGTGACCCTGTCCACGGACGCGGGTCGGGCCCCACACGTCCATGTGAAGCGTCTGCAGCGGGGCCTCTGTCGGAGGAAACTGGGAGGAGTGAGGGGCAGCCCGCTGACGCCCCTCGACACAGGGGACGCAGGTAGGGGCAGGCCCCGGAGGAAGGGGAGGGAGGGACCGGGGAAGACCAGAGACAAGGACACGGGAGGCCATGCCTCGGAGACGAACCAAGGAGGGATGACCAAGGCGGTGGTGCCAGAGGAGAGTCTCGTGAGACAGGAGGCGACACGAGCAGGGGGCAGACTCAGGACCAGACCTGGACGCTGCAGCAAACACCTGACCCGACGCAGCTACCTGACAAGATGCAGCGACTGGAGGAGACTCAGTGGTCAGTGTGTACAGGCTCAACCCCGGCCGACGTGTAAACGTGGCCAAGTGCAGACCCGTCCGAGCGTCCGTGCAGTGGGTCACCCGCTGGCTCGCAGGAGTGAACTGGTGAACCCCCGCATCCTGTAGGTCAGCACCACTCACCAAGTTCATAGAGAACGAGGGGAGGTAAAGACCAGACAGGGTGCCAGAGGGGGCCGCCGGACACGGGAGGACAGTGGAGAAGTGAGCAAGGACAGGGCCCCCAGAGGGGTCTGCCAGAGAGACTGCAACGGGCCGACCAAGCGGCGTAAGTGTGGTGCGGTCTCGAAAGTAGGAGCGAGAAGCCCCCGAGTCAAGGTTGAAGGTGTGGGTGGCCAAAGCCGACGCAGTACCTGAGAGAGTAGACTCACCAGTACCTGAGGAAGCAGACGCACTAGCACCTAGAGCAGCAGTCTCGCTAGCACCTAGAGCAGCAGCCTCACCAGTACCTAGAGCAGCAGTCCCGATGCCCGGGTCGGGCAGAAAACACCAGTAACAGTCACCCTCATCACTAATAGTCACAGCATACATGGCAGCAAGAATAGCATCAAAATCAAGGTCAAAGATAGCTACTCCCGCCCTAGACAGCTCGCCCCAGCGAGGGATCTCAGTGGCCTCAGGGAACTAGTGACGCCAAGTGTCCGTCAGGCGGCCAAAGCAGCGCTGGGTAGAGTGCACACCCCCGCACTGCTCACCCGCGCGGTCGCCGGTGCGTAGGACGTAGGTGCACGGACCAGTACTCCCACCTCGCTGGCGTGCAGCGTACCACTCACGAAGCTGCTAAGGGGGGGGGGGGATCTCACGAGTGCGCTGCTGCTGCTGCTGCTGCTGGCGCTGACCACCACCAGAGCCAACCCTCTGCACAGCACCACCTCGACCAGCTCCACCTCCTCCGCCGCCGCCTCGTCCACCGCCGCCACCTCCACCACCTCCGCTCCCACCGCCACCGCCGCCGCCGCCTCCGCCTCCACTGCCGCCACCTCCACTCCCGCCACCACCCCCACCCCCTCCGCCGCCTCCACCGCCGCCTCCACCGCCCCCGCTAGCTCCTCCAGCGCCCCTGCCCCCCTTGCCCTTGCCAGGGCGGCGTCTCCCGCTAGGGGTAGACGCCGCACCGACCGACTCAAGACCAACGAGGTCGGCCGCAGCAGCAGAGGCAACAGAGGGCAAGAGAGGAGAGGGGGGGCACCCCTCAAAGACAGGGGCGTGAGGGTCACCACGAGAGGCTCCTACAGCGACTATGCTCTTCTCCATTGCTAGGAGGCGTTCCTCGAGGAGGTCAACGGTGAGGGTGGTGGGGCAAACAGAGAGAAAGTGGTCCCTGACCGGGCGAAGGGTGTCAGGGAGGCGGGTGACTATGTAGTAGAGGGTGATGTACATAGGGGGGGGGTTCTTGGCGGATGTCACTGGTGCGAAGGTGCGTAATGAGGTCAGCGACTGTGGGAAAAGCTGCGAGGTTAGGGAAGAGGTACGGCAGGATGAGGCGGCTAAGAGCAGCAGTGGCAGGGGAAGAGTAGCGTGCAACTACAGCATCGTACAAGGTCTTAGCACTCTTGTACTGGCTTAAGTGCGCACGCTCAGAGGTAGGCAAGTGGCGACGCACAACAAGACGTGCAGCAGCATCGCGTGTGGCCCACTGTGAGCGAACAGTGGCGTCAGCATCAGCAGCAGGGGCAGGAGAGGCACCAGAAGTGAGGTTAAAGAGGGAGAGACCATCTGCCCTATCGCACTGTAGGAAAAGCTGCAGGTCATCTACCCAGACGTCAAAGTCAATGGCCCGGCCCTCAGCGTCAAAAGCGAGGACACTAGGGGTAGCCATGACAGCAGTAGACTAGCAGCGCGAGCAGCAGGCTAAGGGCAGTGCAGTGGCAGAGGTGCTGCTCTTACCGGGCAGGCGAGAAGGACCGAGGCTCGCTAGTAGGAACGGGGCCGCGACCATAGTGACAGGATGTAGCGGACAGGGCGGCTCGGTGGCTCGGGAGTACCAGCAACTCAGCAGCAACGGCGTCTCGGGCGGCTCGGCGGCAACGGCGGCTCGGGCGGCTCGGCGGCAACGGCGGCTCGGGCGGCTCGGTGGCAACGGCGGCTCGGTGGCAACGGCGGCTCGGCGGCTCGGGCGGCTCGGCTGCTGCAGGGGCAGCGGCGGCTGCTGCAGGGGCAGCGGCGACTGCTGCTCAAGGGACGGCAGTGGCCGCTGCTGCAAGGGCGGCGGGTGCTGCTGCAGGGGCGGCGGCTGCTGCTGCTGCGGGGACGGCGGCCGCGGCCGCTGTAGCGACTGCGGCTGCTGCTGCTGCAGAGGCGGGACGGCGGGCCGAGAGAGGCCGCGAAGTGCGGCGGACGAGCCGTGAAGGGCGGCACGAGGGGCCGCGGAGGGCGGCGACCGGCCGTGAAGAGGCCGCGAGGGGGGGGGGGGGGGGGGCGCGAAGGGCGGCGACGGGTCGTGAAGGGTGGTGCGAGGGGCCGCGAAGGGCAGCGACGAGCCGTAGGGGGGGCCGTAAGGGCGGCACGAGGGGCCGTAAGGGCGGCACGAGGGGCCGTAAGGGCGGCGCGAGGGGCCGTAAGGGCGGCTGGAAGGGCCGTCAGAGGGGCCGCTAAGGGCGACGCGAAGGGGTCGTAAGGGGCCTAGAGATGGCGCGACGGTAGGGAGGGCACGCGGGGCGCGACTCGGGCAGGAGCGAAGCGCGTTCCGGGCAGGAAAAAAAAAATCGATTGGGTGGGCCCTAGGAAGCGTTCCCACGAGGGAACCCACTCTATACCATGTGAAAATACGAGGAATGAAATGACTAAGGGAAAGTTGGGTACAAGTACAAACCCTAGAAAGCTGTACCCCATATTTGCTACCCCATTACAGCCTACAGTAGCTATGTCATATAAATCTGACATTAACTTCGGTTTTCTTCGAGAATCCAAGAATTTTGCTTATGTCAAAAATCAAACCGTTACCGTAAAGCAGTTCGTTAGTTTAGTCATCTGCAATATCGCGGTATTCGGAAGGTATGCGGATCGAAATTTGATTGTGACAGAAAGCATTATGTTTTAAAAACTTTTGTTTCTATTTTCCACACAAAATCACACTATTTGTACACTCTATGTAATTAGCAACAAAAAAAAATCAAATAGATTGCGCGAATATGCATACGCTTCGCAACCCTACGACGACTTTGTCGCCTCTTGTTTTTTTGTTTTTTTGAAAATGTACCTTCAGTGTGTGTGTGTGTGTGTGTGTGTGTGTGTGTGTGTATGTGTGTGTGTGTGTGTGTGTGTGTGTGTGTGTATATATATATATATATGTGTGTGTGTGTATATATAGCTAGATAGGTTAGAATCTACCAGACTGCGGAACTCTTTTATGAAGTATACCGCGTCTCGCTTATTGTGTATCAACATCTTTCATCGCACCTGTATTGGTCCGTTGCTGCACTCATCATCCTCAAGATTATCGCCATGGCCTCGCTCGGTTCCTCGCTGCACGCACGGCCGATCAGAGTACTCTCACCACACGATCTACTGCGATTGCCGCATTGTTTTTTGCACGCGACGGTACCTTCGCGAAAGGGTTTCGCGAAAGGCTTTCAAACCGTCGCACGCGTCGCCGACTCCGCCGCTTCCGCCGATTTCCCGCCTCCTTCCACCAGCTCATCAGATGAGGTAACCGTGCGACACATTGCGACGAATATCTTTTGTCGCAGCTCCAAACGCGCATTTTATCGCCAGACCATGTCCTCCGTGCTCGCTCTTCGCGCTTGGCAGCAAAACTGAGCGGCGCACCATACCCTCCTCGCAACCTCTTCCCCTACCACTCCGCCCCCATTTCCTCCCCCTCCCCTCCCCCCTCCCCTCTCCCTTCTCCCCTCTCGTATATATTTTCCATTTATGCCCCATCCTCTCCTCCCCCCCTTTTCCCCCCTCTTCGGTACCCAGCGCACCTCCCTGCAGCCGTATTTCCACTACCCTCAACGTTCCCACTCACTTCCGCTCCTCCCCTCTCCCCCCCCCCTCTCCCTCCCCCTCTCCCTCCCCCCTACCCCTCCCCACGCCCCTCCCCCTTCCCCATCCCTCCCCCAGCGCCTTCCTCTGGAGCCCTACTTCTACTACATGGGCAACCGGCGCGGCATGCCTTCTGCCCCGCGCACTCCCCCTCCCCACACACCCCCGCTTCCCCTCCTATTCTCCCCCCCCACCCTGTCAGCAGCGCGTGTCCCTGGAGCCCTACTTCTACTACATGGGCAACCGGCGCGGCATGGGCGCGTACGGGGTGGAGTTCCGCGAGCCCGCGCACGGGCTGCAGGGGGAGGGCGACCTGGCGGGCGTGGGGGTGTACGCCGCAAGGGACATCGACAGCCGCGGGGGCGCGCGCGTGGTGATGGAGGTGCCGCTGCCGCTCATGCTGAGCGTGTCGAGGGACCCCCCCTGGATGTTCCACCCGGACATCGTCCCCATGGGGCACCCTGTCTTCGACGTGATATCTGCTGCTGAGGGGGAGGTGAGATGAGATTAGTGTGGGGTTGTGCTGGTGGTCATGGGGGAGGGAGGAGTTGGGGGGGGTTGGGCTGCGGGGCGGGTGCCTTCTTCCTCCCGTCCTGCCTCTCATGCTGAGCTGAGCGCGTTCTTGGAGAATGCTCAAAGAACACATGCTGAGCATGTTGTGTCGTCGTCGAGAGACCCCTGTTGAGGGTTCTCAAAAGTGAGCTCAACATGCTGAGCCTGAGCGTGTCGAGAGGCCCCCTCGATGTTCCACCAGCACATTGTTGTGCCCCTGTCTTTGCCGTAATTGCCGGCTATGTTGGTGCGACTCTTGAGAATTCTCAAAAGTCGCACCAATGGAGCACCCTGTCTTTGCCGTTACTGCCGCTGCTGAGGGGGAGGTGAGAAGTCAACAAGTTGAATGCTCGCATTGGCTTGCCTGGCAGCTGCCAAGGGATGAGTCATCCCACCCACCCGACTTCATTCGACCCGACCCGGCCCGACCTGATCTGACCTCGTCCGAACCAGACCAAACTAACCTGACCCTACCGGATCGATTGACTGACCAGGACTGGCCCGACGAGGCCAGGCAGGCATGGGAGTTTAAACTGGCGACTTCCCGCCCTACACTCATTCACTCTTTCCCCTTCCCCGACTCTGCCATGATGTTGTTCTCTCCCGCACTCCCCCTCTTCCCCTCCCACCCCAACTGGGACTGCCTACTAGCCTGCCTTCTCCTCCGCGCACAGCACTCCTCACCCGCGTCTCATGCCCACCTGGGACCTCCTTATGGCCGGGACCGCGCCAACGATCATTCAGGCGCCTCAGAAACTCGCTCGCACACTCTTACCTCCCGTTTCAGGCCAACTGGGACCTATCTGACCTGTCTGCTGCTCCTGGCACTCAACTCCTCACCTGCTTTCGTGGCCGGAAGGACGCCAACAATCTCTTAGGCGCTTCAGAAACTCTCTCGCACACTCCCATGATCCCATCCACCTCCCCTTTCCAGGCCAACTGGGACCTCCGACTGGCCTGTCTGCTGCTCCTAGCGCTGAACTCCTCACCGGCCTCGCGTGGGCGGGAGGACGCGTACGGGTCCAAGCGGCCGCACTTCCTCACGGAATATGCTGACTTCCTGCCCTCGCCGCTGGACTGCCCCTCGCTGCTACTCTCCTCACAGGTATGATACCATTTGACGTCTCGAAGCCTCCTAGCAAGCTCACACGTCATAGCTACCAGCACGCTCACATGTGACAGCTACTCACATGTGACAGCTACTCACATGTGACAGCTACTCACATGTGACAGCCATTCTACAAGTTGTGTCTGCTAGTCACCGCACCTCATCACCGAGTGTGCCATTCTCCTGTTCGACCACCCGTTCCCTCTTCTCTCTTCAGAGGTAACCTCTTGCTTGTTGGCTTGCCACGAAGAACAACCACTGCTTGCCTATGCGCTATAACAGGCCACCACCTGCCGCTGTAGGACGAGGGGCTGGTAGAGGAGGCAATTGGATGACATGACATGACATGGCAGTGAAAGAAAAACACAAGTACATGCGTGGGTGCTTGCGTAACTTACAAAAAACTGATAAATATGCGTGCACAACCCACCTGCATCCCCCACCTTCATCCCCCACGTGCACAACCCACCTGCACCCCCCCTGCCGTGCGGCACAGGAGGAGCTGGCAGCGCTGCAGGACGAGGGGCTGGCAGAGGAGGCACGGCAGCAGCAGCAGCGAGTGAAGGCATTCTGGCGATCACACTGGGGGGTATGTGTGTGGAGCGCACTGGGGGGTATGTGTGTGGAGCGGACTGGGGGGTACGTGTGTGGCGCGCACTGGGGGGTATGTGTGTGGAGCGCACTGGGGGGTACGTGTGTGGAGGGTGTGTGGGCAGTGTATGTGGGGTATGTTGAGAGTATTTGTGGGATACATGTGGGGTAGAGTTGGGGGTGTGGCAGGGGTTATGGTGTTTACGGTACTGGAGTTAAGCAAGCATGGCTTCGGTGGTGGCGTTAGAAAAGAGAATGGTGATTGACGGCAGCAAACGCATCCCTCACGCCATCAGACCCTGACCCCATCATCTGTTGCCATCCCTAAATCTCTCTCTCCCTCACTCCCTCACTCCTCAGCCTCTCACCCTTGCACCCCTCTCTGCCGCACTCCACCCCTCCACACCACCAGTCGGATTCATCACCGCATCAGCTGCAGCGGCTGGCACCCAGCGAGGCGGACATGCTGTGGGCTGTGGGCATAGTGCAGAGCCGAGGGGGGGTGAGGCACACTCCCATGGGCACCGTCAAGACCGACACGCACATGCTGCTGCCCTACGCTGGTACCTCCTTTCTCTTCTCCACTCTGGTAGGCTGAGTGTTGAGTCGACTCAAAGGTGCAGAGCCGAGGGGGGGTGAGGCACACTCCCATGGGCACCGTCAAGACCGACACACACATGCTGCTGCCATATGCTGGTAAGCTAAATGTGTTGAGAGGTGCAAATCAGTAGTGCGATACAGATGGGTGACCTCGAGCCACACATACTCCCATGGGCACTCTCAAGACGGACTCGCACATGCTGCTGTCCTACGCTGGTGGGCTGTCCTCTTCCCCCTCCCAGTCAGCCTTACATGCTGTTGGCCTATGCTGGTAGGATCAATGTGTTGGCTCAACTGAGAAGTGCCGAGCAGAGCAGAGGCTGCGTGAGGCACACACCCATGGGCATGGTCATGAACCACACGCACATGCTGCTGCCGTATGCTGGTAGGATCAATGTGCTGAGTTGACTCAGAGATGCAGAGCAGAGGGGGGGTGCGGTGAGACACACACACACACACACACACACACACACACACACACACACACACACACACACACACACACACACACACACACACACACACACACACACACACACACACACACACACACACACACACACACACACACACACACACACACACACACACACACACACACACACACACACACACACACACACACACACACACACACACACACACACACACACACACACACACACACACACACACACACACACACACACACACACACACACACACACACACACACACACACACACACACACACACACACACACACACACACACACACACACACACACACACACACACACACACACACACACACACACACACACACACACACACACACACACACACACACACACACACACACACACACACACACACACACACACACACACACACACACACACACACACACACACACACACACACACACACACACACACACACACACACACCCACCCACCCACCCACACCCACACCCCCACCCACCCACCCACCCACACCCACACCCACACCCACACCCACACCCACACCCACCCACCCACACACACACACACACACACACACACACACACACACACACACACACACCCACCCACCCCCACCCCCACCCCCACCCACACACACACACACACACACACACACACACACACACACACACACACACACACACACACACACACACACACACACACACACACCCACACCCACACCCACACACACACACACACACACACACACACACACACACACACCCACACCCACCCACACCCACACCCACACCCACACCCACACACCCATGGGCACTGTTAAGACCGACTCGCACATGCTTCTTCCTTATGCTGGTGGGCTGGGCTGTCCTGTTCCTCTGCGTTCCACCTTCCTCCCTTTCCTTGCTCATGCTCTTACTCTCATCCTGCTGCTGCCCTTCCGCTATCCGCTCGCTTCTGACCAAACGTGCTCGATCCACTCCTTTGCCCCTTGCTGTGCGTGCTGCCCCACACATGCTGAATGGCGTGCTCGACTCACACGTTAAGCCACGCACATGCCACACACATGCCACACACATGCCACACACATGCCACGCACATGCCACACACATGCCACGCACATGCCACACACATGCCACGCACATGCCACACACATGCCACGCACATGCCACACACATGCCACGCACATGCCACGCACATGCCACACACATGCCACGCACATGCCACGCACATGCCACGCACATGCCACACACATGCCACGCACATGCCACACACATGCCACGCACATGCCACACACATGCCACGCACATGCCACACACATGCCACGCACATGCCACGCACATGCCACACACATGCCACGCACATGCCACGCACATGCCACGCACATGCCACACCCACACACATGCCACGCACATGCCACGCACATGCCACACACATGCCACGCACATGCCACGCACATGCCACGCACATGCCACGCACATGCCACGCACATGCCACGCACATGCCACGCACATGCCACGCACATGCCACGCACATGCCACGCACATGCCACGCACATGCCACGCACATGCCACGCACATGCCACGCACATGCCACGCACATGCCACGCACATGCCACGCACATGCCACGCACATGCCACGCACATGCCACGCACATGCCACGCACATGCCACGCACATGCCACGCACATGCCACGCACATGCCACGCACATGCCACGCACATGCCACGCACATGCCACGCACATGCCACGCACATGCCACACACATGCCACACACATGCCACACACATGCCACGCACATGCCACACACGTGCGACACACATGCCACGCACATGCCACACACATGCCGCACACATGCCGCACACATGCCACACACATGCCACACACATGCCACACACATGCCACACACATGCCGCACACATGCCACACACATGCCACAGAAACACTGAACCACTCGTTCAGCCCGATGTGCTGGCTGCACTGGCGCAAGACGACTTGCGATACCCGTGCTACTGTGTGTTGCCATGCTCGAACCACACTCTTGCCCCCCTCTCAAACCACTCTCTTGACCCCCTCTCTCCTTGTGCGTTGCCGTGCAGACATGCTGAACCATTCGTTCAGCCCGCTGTGCTCGCTGCACTGGCGCAAGAGCGACCGCGTCATGGAAGTGCGCGTGGATGCCGGCCACATCGTGCGTGCTGGCACTGAGGTGCGCCATGGGGCCACCGGGGGTGTGGGGCAGTGGGGCAGTGGGGCAGTGGGGCAGTGAGAGTGCTGGCATGACACTGTAGGGAGCCGAAGGAGGTTTGGTGAGTGATGGCGATGAGGTGGGTGATGGAAGTGCGCGTAGACGCAGGGGAGATTGTGTGCACTGAGGTGGGTGTGTGGGGCTGTGAATGTGTGGCAGGGAGATGCGTTGTGTCAGGTGGTGTGGTGTGCAAGCGTGTGGACGGCGCGGATAGGATAGTGCGCGCCGGGCCGGCAGTGAGGTGGGTTGTGTGGGTGTAGCGACGATGAGCAAGTGGTGGCTGGAAGTGAGTGTGGATGCAGGGTAGATGGTGCGAGGTGGCACGGAGGTGGGTTTGTGGGGCTGTGCGTGGGAGAGGCTTTTGGCAATGCGTTGAGGAAAGTGCTGGCAGTTGAGGCAAGTGCTGGCAGTTGAGGCAAGTGCTGGCAGTTGAGGCAAGTGCTGGCAGTTGAGGCAAGTGCTGGCAGTTGAGGCAAGTGCTGGCAGTTGAGGCAAGTGCTGGCAGTTGAGGCAAGTGCTGGCAGTTGAGGCAAGTGCTGGCAGTTGAGGCAATTGCTGGCAGTTGAGGCAATTGCTGGCAGTTGAGGCAATTGCTGGCAGTTGAGGCAATTGCTGGCAGTTGTGGCAAGTGCTTGCAGTTGAGGCAAGTGCTGGCAGTTGAGGCAAGTGCTGGCAGTTGAGGCAAGTGCTGGCAGTTGAGGCAAGTGCTGGCAGTTGAGGCAAGTGCTGGCAGTTGAGGCAAGTGCTGGCAGTTGAGGCAAGTGCTGGCAGTTGAGGCAAGTGCTGGCAGTTGAGGCAAGTGCTGGCAGTTGAGGCAATTGCTGGCAGTTGAGGCAATTGCTGGCAGTTGAGGCAATTGCTGGCAGTTGAGGCAATTGCTGGCAGTTGAGGCAATTGCTGGCAGTTGTGGCAAGTGCTGGCAGTTGAGGCAAGTGCTGGCAGTTGAGGCAATTGTTGGCAGTTGAGGCAATTGCTGGCAGTTGAGGCAATTGCTGGCAGTTGAGGCAAGTGCTGGCAGTTGAGGCAATTGCTGGCAGTTGAGGCAATTGCTGGCAGTTGAGGCAATTGCTGGCAGTTGAGGCAATTGCTGGCAGTTGAGGCAAGTGCTGGCAGTTGAGGCAATTGCTGGCAGTTGAGGCAATTGCTGGCAGTTGAGGCAAGTGCTGGCAGTTGAGGCAAGTGCTGGCAGTTGAGGCAAGTGCTGGCAGTTGAGGCAAGTGCTGGCAGTTGAGGCAATTGCTGGCAGTTGAGGCAATTGCTGGCAGTTGAGGCAATTGCTGGCAGTTGAGGCAATTGCTGGCAGTTGAGGCAATTGCTGGCAGTTGTGGCAAGTGCTGGCAGTTGAGGCAAGTGCTGGCAGTTGAGGCAAGTGCTGGCAGTTGAGGCAAGTGCTGGCAGTTGAGGCAAGTGCTGGCAGTTGAGGCAAGTGCTGGCAGTTGAGGCAAGTGCTGGCAGTTGAGGCAAGTGCTGGCAGTTGAGGCAAGTGCTGGCAGTTGAGGCAAGTGCTGGCAGTTGAGGCAAGTGCTGGCAGTTGAGGCAAGTGCTGGCAGTTGAGGCAAGTGCTGGCAGTTGAGGCAATTGCTGGCAGTTGAGGCAATTGCTGGCAGTTGAGGCAATTGCTGGCAGTTGAGGCAATTGCTGGCAGTTGTGGCAAGTGCTGGCAGTTGAGGCAAGTGCTGGCAGTTGAGGCAAGTGCTGGCAGTTGAGGCAAGTGCTGGCAGTTGAGGCAAGTGCTGGCAGTTGAGGCAAGTGCTGGCAGTTGAGGCAAGTGCTGGCAGTTGAGGCAAGTGCTGGCAGTTGAGGCAATTGCTGGCAGTTGAGGCAATTGCTGGCAGTTGAGGCAATTGCTGGCAGTTGAGGCAATTGCTGGCAGTTGTGGCAAGTGCTGGCAGTTGAGGCAAGTGCTGGCAGTTGAGGCAAGTGCTGGCAGTTGAGGCAAGTGCTGGCAGTTGAGGCAATTGCTGGCAGTTGAGGCAATTGCTGGCAGTTGAGGCAATTGCTGGCAGTTGTGGCAAGTGCTGGCAGTTGAGGCAAGTGCTGGCAGTTGAGGCAATTGCTGGCAGTTGAGGCAATTGCTGGCAGTTGAGGCAATTGCTGGCAGTTGTGGCAAGTGCTGGCAGTTGAGGCAAGTGCTGGCAGTTGAGGCAATTGCTGGCAGTTGAGGCAATTGCTGGCAGTTGAGGCAAGTGCTGGCAGTTGAGGCAATTGCTGGCAGTTGAGGCAATTGCTGGCAGTTGAGGCAAGTGCTGGCAGTTGAGGCAAGTGCTGGCAGTTGAGGCAATTGCTGGCAGTTGAGGCAATTGCTGGCAGTTGAGGCAATTGCTGGCAGTTGTGGCAAGTGCTGGCAGTTGAGGCAAGTGCTGGCAGTTGAGGCAATTGCTGGCAGTTGAGGCAATTGCTGGCAGTTGAGGCAATTGCTGGCAGTTGAGGCAATTGCTGGCAGTTGAGGCAATTGCTGGCAGTTGAGGCAATTGCTGGCAGTTGAGGCAATTGCTGGCAGTTGAGGCAAGTGCTGGCAGTTGAGGAAATTGCTGGCAGTTGAGGCAATTGCTGGCAGTTGTGGAGGGAGTTGTCGGCGATTCGCATGGATGCAGGGCAGATAGTGCATGCTGACGCACAGCCATGTTCCCGTTTAGGCTCACAAAACCACCTGTGCCTCCACAAAACCAGCCGTGCCTCCACAAAACCAGCTGTGCCCCCGCGGTTCTATGCCTCGAATCCGTCCTCTTCATCTCTGTCGCCCGTCCTCAATCCCCGTCCCTCATCCTCTGCCTGCCCACTCCGCCCCACCTGCCCCCCTGCGCGCCCACTACTTTCCCGTCTGCCCGCCTGTCGCCCGCCCTGCGTCCCGGTGTGCGAGCAGCTGACCATATCATACGTGCCCAAGGCAGACAACCGCGCTCTCATGCGCTCCTTCGGCTTCTCCATCACTCACGTGCGTGCCCATCACTCACGTGCGTGCCCATCACTCACGTGCGTGCCCGTGCCCGTGCCTGCATGCTTCCATCTGTCACTGCATTCTTGGCCTGTCACCTCTTGTTTTGCTGGCTTCTAACCTCACGCTTCTCACCTCTGCAACAATTCCTTATTACCCGGTTTTACTGTTATGTGAATGCATCATTTCTCTCAAGCCGTCATGCCACCCTCTTTTGCTTTGACCAGCCCTGAGAATTTCCGCGGGCAGCTGATTCTTTCAGGTGAAACTCACCAGATGCACCCTCACTTGTCTGTCCTTTCGCCCACCCTTCCTTCTCTTCTCTCATGCCACCGTCCAATCAATCTTCCCGCCTTCAGAGCCCTTGGGAGCAGGCCACCACCTCAGATACACTTTTTGCTGTCCTGGCTGTCACCCAACTTGTCCTCTTGGCTCGTGCCATCATCCCGTCAACTCTTCCCGTTTCAGAACCCTTGGGAGCAAGTAACTCTCGCCCATGCTACACCTGCTGCACCACCATCTCTCACCTCCTCCTCTCCCTCCACCTCCACCGCCCCCTTCACCCCTCCGTCACACCACATTCACCGGGACAGCTTCCTCTCGGCTTTTGACCTCATAGCCACCGATGATGACTATGACTATAACCGTAAGTCACTATAACCGTAAGTCACTATAACCGTAAGTCACTATAACCGTAAGTCACTATAACCGTAAGTCACTATAACCATAACTGAGTGTGCTTGTAAAAGGCTGTAGCCGTATGTATGACAGTAAGTGCCTATAATGTGACTCCAACCGCAAGGGACAGAAATCTTCAGTGCCGAGAACATTCGATACCATGATGCCACTCACATGACCGAAAATCCGTTTGTGGTTTTCGTTCCAAGGGACAATAGGCAACATCAGTGCGGAGAAAGTGATTCATGCCATGCTCCAGCCTCTCCCACTCTTTTCCCTCCGTCGCCTCCACCACAAGCTGGTTGGTTGCAGTTGAGCGTGTTACCACGCCGCACAGCTGCTCTCAGAAAGGGGTGGGTGACTCTCCTCTCCGCGCAGCCCCTTTGTGGACGTGGCGCTGGTGCAGGCACTGTGTTGCCTGCTCCCTCGCTTGCACCCCCCAATCATCGCCCCCACCATGCTCCTCTCTCACCCCCCAATCATCGCCCCCACCATACTCCTCTCTCACTCCCCAACCACCAGCCGGCGACTCTCCTCCGGACCCCTTTGTGGACGGGGCGCTCGTGGCGGCGCTACGCTGCCTGCCCACGTGGACCAATGGCGACGTGCCAGCTGTCCCCTCGGAGGAGCTGCAAGCCGTGCGCTGGCTGCAGCAGCGATGCTGGGAGCAGCTGGGGGCGTTCCCCACAACGCTGCAGCAGGATGAAGCAGTGCTGGGTGAGTTGGGCGAGGAGGAAGGAAGCCTTTTTTTCTTTAGGTAGCCTTCCAGCGAAACCAGCAGTGCCAGGAGCAGCTGGGGGCGTTCCCCACCACCCTGGAGGAGGATGAAGCTGTTCTGGGTGAGTTGAGTTGCTTTGCTTCACACATCGCAGGCTCGGAGAAGCCTTTTTGTTATAGTGTAGCCTGGCAGTGAAGCACAAGGGTCGGCAGCAACTGACAGTGCCGGGAACAGCTGGGAGCGTTCCCACAAATGTTGCGAAGAAAGGAAAGCTTTGAGGGTGAGTTAGGATAAAAGCTTAATTTCTTATAGAATAGTCCGAATAGTTATCCACGAGAGACACGAAAGGGGTTTGCTGCATGGCGGGTTAAGCAGTCGCAGGGAGGTCATGGGTCAGAAGGCTGTGAATGACTACGAGGTGGGTTTTGAGCCGCCTCAGAGTGAGGCGATTCTTGAGTTGCCTCAGAGTGAGGCGATTCTTGAGTTGCCTCAGCAGTGAGGCGGCCTCAAAAGTGGGTGCCATGAATGACTACGAAGTGGGGAGGGGGATGGTGCCAGTAGATCCATTCGGTGTTACATACACGGAACTGCTGTTTCAGCGCTTCTAGGTGTAGTCACACAGTGCACTTCTCCCTTCAGCCTCCCCTTCCAGCATCCTTCCGTCCTCCATCGCTCTCACCTTCTCATGGCTCACTTTGAGGTAAATCAGAGGTACAGAGAACACGTCTGCAAGGTGGCGGTGGTGGCCTGCTATCAGCTCCATGCTAACAGCTCACTGCTCTCAGCTCACTGCTCTCAGCTCACTGCTCTCAGCTCACTGCTCTCAGCTCACTGCTCTCAGCTCACTGCTCTCAGCTCACTGCTCTCAGCTCACTGCTCTCAGCTCACTGCTCTCAGCTCGCTGCTCTCAGCTCACTGCTCTCAGCTCGCTGCTCTCAGCTCACTGCTCTCAGCTCACTGCTCTCAGCTCACTGCTCTCAGCTCACTGCTCTCAGCTCGCTGCTCTCAGCTCACTGCTCTCAGCTCACTGCTCTCAGCTCACTGCTCTCAGCTCACTGCTCTCAGCTCACTGCTCTCAGCTCACTGCTCTCCCATCCGTTCTCGCCCGCTTGCCTCGTCCCTCCTGCCTCGTGGGCTGTTGTGAGCAGAGTCGGAGGGAACAGAGGACAAGTCAGCACGCTGGTGGGCTGCTATCAAGTATGTACTCTCACATTCAATGCTCCCAAGTGCTCCGATGCTTGGCACTGTTGCATTCGTGCAACTGTACATAACATGAACCATCTGCACCATTTTATGCTTTCCTTCCTTTTCCCACTCATTGTTGCTACCGTGGTGGTTCCACCTCCAATCTGGTTCCACCTCCAATCTGGTTCCACCTCCAATCTGGTTCCACCTCCAATCTGGTTCCACCTCCAATCTGGTTCCTCCTCCAATCTGGTTCCACCTCCAATCTGGTTCCACCTCCAATCTGGTTCCACCTCCAATCTGGTTCCACCTCCAATCTGGTTCCTCCTCCAATCTGGTTCCACCTCCAATCTGGTTCCACCTCCAATCTGGTTCCACCTCCAATCTGGTTCCACCTCCAATCTGGTTCCACCTCCAATCTGGTTCCACCTCCAATCTGGTTCCACCTCCAATCTGGTTCCACCTCCAATCTGGTTCCACCTCCAATCTGGTTCCACCTCCAATCTGGTTCCTCCTCCAATCTGGTTCCACCTCCAATCTGGTTCCACCTCCAATCTGGTTCCACCTCCAATCCGGTTCCACCTCCAATCCGGTTCCACCTCCAATCTGGTTCCACCTCCAATCTGGTTCCACCTCCAATCTGGTTCCACCTCCAATCTGGTTCCACCTCCAATCTGGTTCCTCCTCCAATCTGGTTCCTCCTCCAATCTGGTTCCTCCTCCAATCTGCCCACATGCAGGTATCGCATGGATCGAAAGAAGTTTCTGGTGAAGATCATCGACGCTTTAGATATTTACCTCGACAGGCTTGTCCTCTGAACCTGGACAGGCGTGTCCTCTGAACCTGATCAGGCTTGTCCTCTGAACCTGGACAGGCGTGTCCTCTGAACCTGATCAGGCGTGTCCTCTGAACCTGGACAGGCGTGTCCTCTGAACCTGATCAGGCTTGTCCTCTGAACCTGGACAGGCGTGTCCTCTGAACCTGATCAGGCGTGTCCTCTGAACCTGGACAGGCTTGTCCTCTGAACATACTAATTGTACAATTTCAAAAAGGATAGAGTTTTTAGCCTGCATTTGGAACGCACCACAAGGCTTGCAATTTAAAACCGAAATGTAAAATAGTGAACCCCGATCCAGCTTGATAAGGGTATATTGGGCCAATACAGAACTGATTCAAAACTCAAACGTTTGGATTGAACTGATGTGATAGGCTGGTCGCCAATCTGTGTTTTTAATGGTTCCCGCCGAATCATTGTCAACCGTCGCATGTTTACGTGCACCACCCGTACGATTTGTTGTACCTAATTTCTTTTTGTATAAATGCATATACATTGTGACACCATCTGTAGATCACACAGAAACGTACAGTTCCAATAACTGCTCCACTAGCTGTCATATGGTCCATACGGGAGGAACGAACAATATTAAACCTACACTTCTTTAATTGATGCTTCTTGCTCTACATAAATCCTGATGAGGTCCTTACGTGTTGACTCAAGGGACCTCTCAGATGGCATAGACAAAGTGATGTCAGCTCAGATTTCACAGTTTGACCCCAAACTTCTCCAACTGTTTGTCTATACCCCAAAGAAACTGTTGCAAGCACACTGATTTCCTGGCCGCTTCCAGATTCACAAGCTGCTACTCTTTGACATCTCTCCCTCCTGGCTTGTCACTCCCTAGGAAACCCCCAAGTAACAGTCCATAGCCACAATCCTCCCCTTGGCATTGCTGCTCTTGCCTGTCACCCGTACCTTCACTCTTTCTTTCTTCCGCTCCGCATTCAATCCTATCTATCGCCTCCACTTTGTCAGACTCAGTAGTACCCAGCTGGCTCCTCTCCTCTCCAGCTCTCGTCGAAACACCATTCCTATCTCCAACACAACCATAGCCCATTCGCGCCAGCAAGCAGGCCACTGGAAATCCCAAGGGCAATGTTGGGGAAAAGGAGGAGAGGGAGAGGTGGAAGAGGGCAAAGAGGGCTGCAGAGAGCATGGCGGCGCCCATCCTGGGGGGAAAGGGGCAGGAAAGGGGATAGTGCAGGGAGAAAACAGGAGAAGGATACAAGAGAGGCAATATCAAGTGAGTGAAGATCGGAAAGAACTGGTACACTTTTAATAATTTAATTGATGCGAGGAGTGTGGGCTATGGAAATTGTCACCAAATACAGTGGTAAAGAACAATATATTTGGTTGTACACTATAGTTGGTGTAGTGAGGTGTAGGATTGGGGTTATGCAACTTTACAGAGGGGTTGTTGAGCTTCAAGGGAATGACGCGAAGTTGGTAGCATGGGGAATTGGGACATTGGGAAGAGCTACAAGCGCCTCGAGGAGCAGGGAATCTGCAGCAACCAGTAAGGCACATGGCGACTCGAACCCAACCCAAGGCCATGGAAATGGTCGTGACTCTGGGTAGGGAATAAAGCAGCCTAGCCTAGACACTAGAACCTGCTCTCTCGTTTTGTTTGCCTACTATAGTGGATTCAATTCACCGTTCTAAGGCTACGGCAGCTAGGTGATACGCCACTGAGGGCAGCCAGCTTGTGGGAGTAGGAATCTCTCACAAAACGAGAGAGAGCTTACTGGCGACATGGATTGCCACGATCAACATGTGCAGCGTACGTACTCACGGCGGGAACGATCTCCGTCGCGGAGGAGACGCTCGAGGGAGCGCGGGAGATCGCCGACGCGCTCGCCACGTCGGGCGGCGTACCGCGCGGATCCGGTGACGCCGACGGACGTGCGAAGGGAAGAAAGCGGGGAGGACCTGCGCGTCAGGTCAGAGCCGTGGAGGCGGCCGACGATCAGCAACCCGTGGAACCTGGCAGAAGGCCAACGCGGGACGGGTGGAAGGCGTGACAACGCCGACGACGACGGATTGCCCACTGCGCGGGGCGACGGAAGGCGCGAAAACGCCGACGACGACGGATCGCCCACTGCGCGGGGCGGCGGAAGGCGTGAAAACGCCGACGACGACGGATCGCCCACTGCGCGGGGCGGCGGAAGGCGTGAAAACGCCGACGACGACGGATCGCCCACTGTGCGGGGCGGCGGAAGGCGTGAAAACGCCGACGACGACGGATCGCCCACTGCGCGGGGCGGCGAAAGGCGTGAAAACGCTGACGACGACGGATCGCCCACTGCGCGGGCCGGCGGAAGGCGTGAAAACGCCGACGACGACGGATCGCCCACTGCGCGGGGCGGCGGAAGGCGTGAAAACGCCGACGACGACGGATCGCCCACTGCGCGGGGCGGCGGAAGGTGTGAAAACGCCGACGACGACGGATCGCCCACTGCGCGGGCCGGCGGAAGGCGTGAAAACGCCGACGACGACGGATCGCCCACTGCGCGGGGTGGCGGAAGGCGTGACGCAGCCGACGAGGAGGAGTTCCCCACTACGCGGGGCGGCGGAAAGCGCGACATCGCCAACGATGAGCAGGCTTTCCCTGTTGCGCGGGAAGGAGGAGGGCAAAGGTACAAGAGGAGGGATGAAAGGGAGCGAGCCCGACACGGAAAGGTGCGGGGGGAGGACGAGGAGCACGGGAACGAGGAGTACTCACCTGCGGGACGGCAGGGAGAGGGAAAGAGAGCGTCAGCGGGTGTCTACCGCTCGCCTAAGCCGAGACCAGGATATGACCGCCGACGGCGCATGGCGATGGGTGAAGGTCGGTGGGCCGAGCGGGAACAGCGGGAGGAGAGGTTGGACCATGAGGAGCGACGTCAGCAGAGCCCGCCTGAGTGGGAGCGGGTGTGCAACAGAGAAGGACGAGAAAGGGGAAGGCGATCACCGCACGGCTCCAGAGCAGAAGGAGGAGGTCGGCAGCGGAGGGAGCAAGAGTGGCATCGCCAGGAACGTTC